CTGAGGGAGCGCCGCACTGTCGGAGGGTCAGTGCTGAGGGAGTGCCGCACTGTCGGAGGGTCAGTGCTGAGGGAGTCTCTGATAAAAGGTGCTACCTTTTGGGTAAGACATTAACTGCCCTTCAGCTGGATGGAAAGATCCCATTGATGTATTTTGAAGGAAGGAAATGGAATTGTCTTGGCCAAGGAGCATCTTTGAAAAGAGGCCGGTTAGTCAGGATTGTTTCTGGGTCTTGAACAGGGTTTGAATCCACAAATCCCTGACCCCGAGTGGGGAGCGCTGTGCACTGAGCCACACTGCGTTCTGCACCCAGCCGGGATACACTTGGAAGCAGCGAATCAGTGACACTGGGCTCTGCTTTAAACAGGATGGACTGATGGAGCCAATTTGAAGTGATCCAAGACGGGAGGCTCTGGCTTACTATTGTACCTACTCCTTCCCCCTACCTTTTGCCCCTCCACCCACACCCCACCAAATCCCCAGCCCCTCCCACAGCGTGGGAAGAGGGGGATTGACATCTGACAAGTCTTTTTGTGAGTCAGCATTCATATCATAACCCCGCATATGGCCCAATTAAATCAAAGGAAATTCGAAATAAAGTAAATCGAATTCAGGGTATTGTCAAATTCCTTCATTTTCATATCCTCAGTGATAACAAAGGACGGGTCATTGAGATCTGAGTAAACACAGTGATGGAAGTGGGAGCATGCACAGGGCATGCAAAGAGGGAGGCTGTTACACAGCTCAGACTATCACTGGGGTAGAGAATGGATGCAGCTCTCCCCTTGATAATTGTTCCATTGGTCCGTTAACACCAGTGTGTGGGGAATCTGCCCCAGTGAGGGGTAACTGCCCCAGTTTGAGGGGAATCTGCCCCAGTGTGGGGTAACTGCCCCAGTGAGGGGTAACTGCCCCAGTTTGAGGCGAATCTGCCCCAGTGTGGGGAATCTGCCCCAGTGAGGGGTAACTGCCCCAGTTTGAGGGGAATCTGCCCCAGTGTGGGGATTCTGCCCCAGTGAGGGGTAACTGCCCCAGTTTGAGGGGAATCTGCCCCAGTGTGGGGTAACCGCCCCAGTGAGGGGTAACTGCCCCAGTTTGAGGGGAATCTGCCCCAGTGTGTGGGAAATCTGCCCCAGTGAGGGGTAACTGCCCCAGTTTGAGGGGAATCTGCCCCAGTGTGGGGTAACTGCCCCAGTGAGGGGTAACTGCCCCAGTTTGAGGGGAATCTGCCCCAGTGTGTGGGAAATCTGCCCCAGTGAGGGGTAACTGCCCCAGTTTGAGGGGAATCTGCCCGAGTGTGGGGTAACTGCCCCAGTGTGAGGGGAAACTACCCTAGAGATAGGAGAAACTGCCCCAGTGTGGGGGGTTATTGCCCCAGAGTGAGAAGGACCTGCCCCATTGAGGGGTAATTGCCCCAGTGTGAGCGGAAATTGCCAGAACCTGCTGGGTTTAACATTGCGTGATGCCCTGTAACAGTCAGAAATTCAATGTTAATTCACTCACTAACTCACACTTGGCCTTTCCTCTGAGAGTTACAGGCACTTCTTCCTGAAATTTAAACCTCTCATATGGTACACTCCTGGTTTAGGTTAATAGAACTCAGAGATCGTTAACAAACTGTTAAGTCAGTTAAATCAGTACAGAGTGAAAACAAATAACACCAACTAAAACCAGAGGGAACAGTTGTTGCTGGTCTCTCCAGACTCTGACATTCAGCTTCACTCACTCTGGGCATTTACCCCTCACTGGGGCATTTACCCCTCACTGAGGCATTTACCCCTCACTGAGGCATTTACCCCTCACTGGGGCATTTCCCCCTCACTGGGGCATTTACCCCTCACTGGGGCATTTACCCCTCACTGGGGCATTTCCCCCTCACTGGGGCATTTCCCCCTCACTGGGGCAGTTACCCCTCACTGGGGCATTTCCCACTCACTGGGGCAGTTACCCCTCACTGGGGCATTTCCCCCTCACTGAGGCATTTCCCCCTCACTGGGGCATTTCC